AAAATTAACAGAAACAATAGGAATATGTTGATAATGAACAAAGTTTAGGCTAACGCTAACCCTTGCAGCTCATGGGTCAGTAATGGTCGCCCTTTCTAAGTCTCGGTACCCTTGAAGTGGCCCTCAGCCTTAAAAAGGTTAGTGACCCCTGACATAGACTATAACAGATTATAGGCACAGACTACAGCATAGACATTGACCCATAGGTTTTAAGGCAATAATGAATTTAAATAAAGTCTATTCCATTGACCTTGATTGTTGTGAGCGCATCGGAGCGAACTGGAGCGGAGCGAAATCCTCCCTCTGGCCTTTGAGTTGAAAACCGCTCTGCAATCCACCATATTTCATCCACTCTGCTCCACCGCTCGCTCCACGCTCCGCTCACATGCTCTGGCCACCACCATGTTTGACAGTAGGGATGGTGTGTTTAGGGTGATAAACTGTGTTGGTTTATTCCAAACATAACGTTTTGCATTGTTTACAAAGGCTACGTTCACACAGCAGCCTGAAGTGACCCAAATCCGATTTTTTTTGCCCCTATGCGACATGGATCTGATATTTTCATGAAGTCTGAACAACAGAGATCTGATTTTTTTTTTCCCAATGCGACCCAGGCCACTTGGCTATGTGGTTCTGATTCTGATACAAATCTGATCTTTTCAAATGCGACCTGTGTGGGAAGGGCCAGGTCGCATTCATCCGACCTGAACGTCATTAATACCCGTCAGGTCACTATTCTGCATCTTGCTACGCGAAGCAGGAACAAAAACCACAACCATGCCGGAGAATAATGCAGAGAGTAGTATTTATATTGAATTATATTGAAAAGAGAGTTTTTTCAAGTTTGGGAAAGACCGCAAGATGCGCTCCAACACAACCATCCATGTTTACTTCCATAAACACAGAGCACGCTGGCCTGTGACGTCAATGCGTCCTCTACTGCGCATGCGGGACACTTAAGTTGAAGGAATGCAGTTCACGTAGGATCACATACAAGTTGCATATATTTGGAAATGTGAACACAGACATCCCAAGTCTCCCGGATATCGATAGTTGTTCACGGATGCCCGCGAGTCGGATAAATTATCCCGGATTTTAGACCGGATTTTAGATGGTGTTTTTTTTAATGTGAGTGAAAGCGAACAGGCAATACAATAATTTGTGCACCGTGTGCAGATTAGATCTACTTTGATTGTGCAGGCACAACAAAGTGGGGAGCAGGTTGCTTGTGAAACCTCTGCGTTTCTGTCCAAAATGATGGTCTGTTCAACAGGCGACTGGTTGTCAGAATGTTGATTGGATTAGTCAGAAAAATAAGCCGAAAAGTTTCGGTTTACTCTCTTAGGTTGAATCAAAGTAAAGTACAGTACAGACCAAAACTTTTGGACACACCTTCTCATTCAAAGAGTGTTCTTTATTTTCATGACTATGTAAATTGTAGATTCACACTGAAGGCATCAAAACTATGAATTAACACATGTGGAAATATATACTTAACAAAAAAAGTTTGAAACAACTGAAAATATGTCTTATATTCTAGGTTCATCATAGTAGCCTCCTTTTGCTTTGATTACTGCTTTGCTCATTCTTGGCATTCTCTTAATGAGCTTCCAGAGGCCGTCACCTGAAATGGTTTTCTCCTCACAGGTGTCCCCTGTCAGATTTAATAAGTGGGATTTATTGCCTTATAAATGGGGTTGGAACCATCAGTTGTGTTTTGCAGATGTCAGGTGGATACACAGCTGATAGTCCTACTGAATAGACTGTTAGAATTTTTATTATGGCAAAAAAAACAGTAAAGAAAAACGAGTAGCCATAATTACTTTAAGAAATAAAGGTCAGTCAGTCCGAAAAATTGGCAAAACTTTGAAAGTGTCCCAAAGTGCAGTCGCTAAAACCATTGAGCACTACAAAGCAACAGGCTCACATGAGGACCGCCCTAGGAAACGAATACCAAGAGTCACCTCTACTGCGGAGGATAAGTTCATCGGAATCCCCAGCCCCAGAAATCTCAGGTTAGCAGCAGCTCAGATTAGAGAGCAGGTCAATGCCACACAGAGTTCTAGCAGCAGACGAGCATCTCCCTGAAATTAGTTTTTGGAACTTTGGATGTCTGTTAACGGCAATGCAAAAAATAAAAATAAAAATCGGATTCCACAAAAAAAAAATAGGAATTGAGCATTTAAAGGCACACTATGCAACATTTTTCAGTTAATTAATGTGTTCCATAACGTTTTGGATGATTAAATGAGTCATTTCAGGTTGTACAAAGGTATTCTCGGCCGCCCTGGTGGTCTGTGGGGGAAATACCGCACTTGCAATTGCAGGAGCACCGACCCGCACCCACAGGCTCAGAAGTCTCGCGAGAGTCAGTCTTGC